ATGGTGAGGCCACTCTGCTTGGGCTCCCACCTCCCCTTCCCAAGCCCTGGGCACATCCTTAGAATTCTAGGGCTCTAGAATTTTTTGTGGGCAAGGTCTGTGATGCCCAATACAGTATACGTACCAGTGGGGGTCCAGGAGGTGGTTCGAGGCAGCATCATAGACAGACATTTTAAAACTTTAACATTTATCAATTTACCTTAAAATTCATTGGAAAAATACTAGCTTTACATGTATGGTACTGATAGAAAGTTTCACTTTTAAATGTATTTGAGTGAAAAAGTGAATTAATTTAAAGGAAAATAATAATAGTCCTTGCACACACATATATGCACATGCATATACACATGCACACGTGCACACACATACACACCATTCTCCTGCACACATTTGCACACTCTCAGCCCTGAGGCAGGGGCTCCCCAGGCTCTTGGGAGGACCCTCGTCTTCACCACCTGAGCTGGGCCAGTCCCCGCAGCAGCCCCAGCGTTCCCTCTACAGAATCTCCTCCAGGTGGCTTCTCCTATTTGCACCATGTGTGTCTCTGTGCTCCCAGAGGGAGAGTCAGCAGGAGGGGAGGACAGTCTGTCCAGAGGTTTTGCCTGGAGTCCCCGAGCCTGGCAGGTTCCTGGCACATAGTAGGCGGGCAGTAAAAACTTGAACGTCTGAAGAAACGTTCTGCAATGCAGGCATCTCAGGGCTGTGGATGCTGTGAACAACACGGATGAGTTTATACTGAAGTGCTCAGGTTCCACAGCAGGTTTTTCATTTATCAGCTGAGACTCAACCACGCACATGGCCCTAGGGAGAAAAGGAAGAATAAGGCGCGAAACCAGCCACAGCCCAGAGGGGACACAGATCTTGCACTCTTGGTGACAAGGCAGCCCTGAAAGTGTCGGAAACCAGATATGCACCCTGGACTTGGGGGCTGGGACAAGGGACGATGTATTCCGGCTAGGGATGGGGCGCTGGGGCTTCTTGAAAAGGGTAATATTGCGTCTGGGTCAAGAAGAACGGATAGGCTTTTCCTGGGTCGAGAAGGGAGAAGGTGTTCCTGGCTTAGGGAACTGCCCAGAAGTATAAAAATGCACAGCGTTTTCCAGAAGGTGAAAAGTCTAGCTTCTCCTGGAACCTAGGTGAGCAAGGGTCAAATTCCTCAGGGCCTAATAAAAGAAAAAAAATTCCTGAGGGCCTTACAGACCAGGCTAAGGAGTTTGGACTTTATCTTGTGGGGAAGCAGGAGCCACTGATAGGGGTTAAGTAACAGCGGCTCACTGGGGTGAGCACACTGTTGAAGGCTGCATGGCTGTAACTGGTGGGGGAAGAGTCTGGAATCCTGGCACCGGCAGGACCACACCCAGGGCCGTCCCCTCTTTCTCCACCCTCTTCCAGAAATCAGATAACTCCGATAGGCTGGCCTGCTATCCTTGGGAGTTGTGTCTTGATTGACATGTGGTGCTGCAAGATCCGACAGGCTGGTCCACAGGAAGATCTCTTCCACACTGGCAGAGGAGGCTCCCTGGGAGCACTCAGGGTGGCGCTCGGCTCAGCTGAAAACCCTCAGCCCTTGGCACCAGGCTGCTGAGAGCTGAACCTGCTCCCCTTGCCCTGCCACTCAAAAGCTGCTTCCCCAGCCCCAGCCCCTGTGGAGCCCTGGAGCCAGCTCCTACAGGCTCGTGAGTGCCACTTGGTACATTTTCAGTAATTTCATGAACCAGTTGTTAAACACGGCCATTATTAAAAATTGTTATATAAACTAACAATTAAATAAGTGATTTAAAGCAGAGGTAATAAATACTCAAAACCCACCACTTCCTAATTATTTACTCCACTACTGTCTGCACTCTTGAGGTTGTCTATGTCTATTGCATACGTATGGTGGAAATTTAATATATCAGTATGCTACTGCACGTCTCTCCCCAGCTCCATGTTCAGTGACGTCATATTGGTAGCTTGGAATTGGCCATAGTGGGAGTATTTACACCATAGAAACTGGTCAACACTACAAATCAGAGCTTTTTCTGCAGAGAGCCAGTTGTTAAATATTTACCACCACCAGCACTAATCTCCACCCCTGCTTTGCTGGCTCCCTGTGGAAGCAAACCTCCCTGGCCTGTTCTCTCCACTTCTAGCAGCCACAGCAGCACAACTGGCCTGTCAGATCAGAGCTACCAGAGGAATTTCAGGGAGGTGTGGGGACCTTACCAGGAGGCCTGAGCATCTGCCCCTGAGGATTTACTTAGTCCTTGTGCTGCCCACAGCCCCCACCCAGGCCTCACACCCTGGACAGGCTCCCAGGGAGTCCTGCGGTGTGACTGGAGGGAGGTGCTGGCCCGACCCAGGGGGTAGGGAATTGAAGAGGGGCCTGGCCTACGTCAGACCAACAAATGCCAAGCAGCCTCACGTTAGGTGACGGGCTGCTGCACTGGCCTCTCTCTGAGTGCCCAGTTCCTGACCACCACCACATAGTCAGGTGCCCTCCGGGGAAGACTCATTGATGAGAACAAGAACAGGCGAAGCAGCTGGCTGGAGGCAGCAACATGCCTTCTGTCTAAGCTATTCAACAACATGAAAAAGGCTGTCTGGCCAATCCTATCTACAGATCCCTGAGACTTAATTTGCCACCAATTTAAATTCTCAGGAATATCTTCATGACCTTGGAGTTGATAAGGGAGAGATTTCTTAAAAGGACATTCAAAAAAGAAAAAAAACAACTAAAGGAGAACACTAAAGGAATAGATTGGCAAATCAAACTGTTAAAATTAAGAAAGCCTGTTCATCAGAAGACACCACTAATAGAATAAAAAGGTGACCACAGACTGAGAGAAGAAATTGGTAGTACACAAAACTGACAAAGAGCTCATCTCTAGGATATATGAAGAACTATAAATCAGCAGGAACAGACAGACACGCCAATTAAAAACTGGCAAAAGACTTGAGCAGCCACTCATGACAGAGGATACCCAAATGACCCAAGTAGCCTGTGGAAGGGTATGCAGCCTTATCAGTATTAGAGAAATTAAAATTGGAAGCCACAGTGAACTATCACTACACACCCACAAGACCGGGCAGAACTTCAAAAACAGAATGACAAACTTGGTGAGGGTGCAGAGCAGGCGAAACTCTCATGGGCGTGTAGATGGGTGCTACCCCCCAGAAGACAGGGTGGCAGCGTCTCCTCAAGCTGAACTCACACCCACGGAGGGCCCAGAAGTTCCCAGCAACAGGTGTACTCATCACCCAGGGGCGCGTTCTAGAATATTCATTACCGCGTTATTCAGACAGCCCAGACTGGAGACGATACCGACGTCCATCACTCGTGGATGAGAGCGTGTTCACACCATGGACACTATGCAGCAGTGGGAAAGAACCCCCACACCTGCACACCAGGGCGGGAGTCAGCCCCACAAACACAGCCAGGACCAAAGAGTGCAGACCGCAGGGAGTCCCTTCTTCTCAAGGTCAATGCAGCTGACACTAGCCTGTGGCGAGAGAACCAGCATAGTGGATTCCTCTGGGGAGGAGGCAAGGAGCAGGAGATACACTCTAGAATCCAAAGTTTAACAATCACAACAGTCTCTCCGGCTGTACTGCAGACTTTTTCTGCTTTGCATTTTGGAGGTAGAAAGTTCGAGGGCAGGTAGTATGTCTAAGGAGTCTCTACCTTCCTCACCACATCCCCTTTCGCCCCTACCAACAGCCAGGTGGGAACTCCAGGGAAAGTCCAACTAGAGTCTGCCCCACAGGAGGGATTTCATTTTGGCTTCAAGTAAGATTTCCACTAGCAACTCAGCTTTTCGTTTCTTTTTAATTTTATGTATTTATTTATCAAGCATTTTCTTAGCTCTTCTTTGTACCAGGCACTGTTCAAAGTGTGCCATTAATATTCGCTGATTTAGTGTGTTACCCATTCGTTCGTTCAGGCCATCGGGGCCTTATGAGAGTGGCCTCTTTATTGAGCACTTACTGTGTGCCAGGTGGTAAGCTAAGTTAATTAATTCTCACGTGAGCCCTTGGGAGGGGGAATATATTCATTCCCATTACAGAGGCTCAGAGAGGTTAAGTGACTTGTCCAAGGTCACAGAGCTAAGTCAGTGGCAGAACTGCGATTCAAAGCCAGACCCTGAATTACTCCAAAGTGCCTGGCTTAGTCCTGTCTAGTGAGCACCTTGAACCAAATCACGTTTCCAGACTAATAGAAATATGAAGTTTCTTATGCCCCAACCCTAACGAATCAGAGTCTCTGGCCCCTAGACTGACCTGAGCAGTAGCGTCTCCCACAGTGTTGTTCAAAACCCATTCTTGGCCAGCTGGCACTACAGAGCCAGACTCCCTGCCCTGCACACAGTTAGGCAAATAGAGCCTGTCTGGAGACAGCAGGACACCCGGCTGCCTGGATTGCTCCTTCTCCGCGTAGTAGGGGGAGTAATGGGGGTGGGGGTTGGGGGGTAGGAGGGTGGGGAGTGTCCCTCTGGACAAATGTCATGTCCCCTCCTCTGAGAAGCCCTCCCTGACCACCCCAGCCTACCGCCCTGGACTGCTAACCCTCTGCTTTGCCTTAGTTGCCCTCCCTGCATATCTTGGTCATATATATGGACTAGGATAAACCATGTGAAAATATCCTTTCTGTAGGTCAAAAACAGTTGAACATGGAACATTTTACCCGCTCCAATGTAGTAAGCATTTTCCTCTACCAGAATGCAGCTCCGGGAGGGTTGGTGATGTGTGTTGTTCGCATCCCTGTCCCCAGACAAAGCCTGGTACACAGTAGGCACTCAGTAAATGGTGGGCAGGGGCTTGAGGAAACCAGACTACCCCAAGGAGCTCCGCAGCCGACACACAGGCCCGACGTCGAGCCGGAGGGACTGAACCGCCGCCCGGACCTCGCAATCTCGGGCGCCTTCCCGGCGGCGGCGGCCAGGCGGGGTGGGGTTCCTCGTCATCCATTTACCAGCCTCGCCCCTCCGACGGGCGCGCCGTTAATGAGATTAGCAATTAAAAAGCGGGCCAGCGGCAGCGGCGCAGGGCCATCCCCAGGCCGAGCCGGGGCGGGACGGGGCGCCTGGCAGCCGCGCACCGAAAGCAGCCGAGCGCGGCGCCCGAGCGGGAGCCGAGCGCGCCGAGCTCAGGGGCCATGGAGAAAGCGCGGCCGCTGTGGTCCAACTCGCTGCAGTTCGTGTTCGCCTGCATCTCGTACTCCGTGGGCCTGGGCAACGTGTGGCGCTTCCCCTACCTGTGCCAGTTGTACGGCGGAGGTGAGTGCAGGTCCCAGGCCCCGGCTCCGGCTCCGGCCCCGGGTCGCTTTCCCTGCCGAGGGGCATTCAGTCCTGACGCGCCCAGGGATGCGCGCTGGAGTGGTCCCATGCTCCAGACCAGTAACCTGAGGCTAGAGGGCGTAAGGATTTGCCCAAAGTTACAGAGCCGGGAATCGGCCCCAGGACACCTCAGTCTGCAGCGGGGGCTCTTATCCAAGCGGCCCTCCGGAGTCTTCTGTAACCCCCAACCCCATCCCGGGAGCAGCCGAGCCCCCCACTACACCGTTCTGGGCCAGAGGCCTGGGGGCACTGTTTTCCTCCTTCAGCAGGAGGAGAGGTGGCAATGGTCTGACTTCTAGTGAGTAAACCTCATGTTTAAGTGTAAAAAGTGAGCAGGAGATTGTCTTGTCCACCAGAAACTGTTGCATATACAGGTTTCAGATCAGAAACTTAGATTCCCGGCTGCCCCATTTGAAACTCAGGTTAAAGGGATCTTGAGCCATTTCTTTAAAATTTTTATAGAAAGGTTGGTTTGGGTTTGGAACCACAGAAGGCAAGAAAGGCAAATCATTCTGTTTTTTCTTTTTGTGTGGTTTTTTTTTTTTACAAATTTTCCTCTGAAGCATCACATCACACTCACTGGATAGACAGACAGCAACACACACACACCTCATTCCCTTAAGGTCACAGAGCCGAGGACCTCTTCTGTTACATGCCAGAGAACTTCTGTGAAGACCAGGTGTCTTTTTGGAAGGCAATGTGGCAATAGGAAGTGAAGTCTCAGCATTAAAAAAAAATTTTTCTTAGTTGTTCCATTTCTAGAATTCTACCTAAAGGAAATCACCAGAGTTCTGACAGAAGGTAGAAAATAGAAAGATGATCTCTATCTTTTAATAAGAGCAAAACATTGCTCTTATTAAAGCCCTCAACTAAAGGGGATTGGTTCAATGAATTATGGAACATCCATGCAATGGGGCTCTTTGCAGCCGTTAAGATGGAGATTTCAAGCAATTTTATATGAGTATTTTCCCATATATTTTAAGTGGAGGGAGGGGAAGTCACATTCAAAGCTGTATAAAATGGATGATCTCAATTATGTTTAAAAATATGCAGAGAAAAGAGAATGGAAAAAAATACACCGAAGTGTTAACAATAGTTATCTCTGGGTGATTTTTGTTTACCTTGTACTCTGTGTGTGTTTTTCTGTGCGTGTGCATGTGTTATGTCTTCCATAATTAGCAGGAATGGTTTTTTCACTGTAAAGAACAATGAAAGATATTAGACCAAAGTATGTACAAAATTTAACCCATTGATGAAGACCACGACCTAAAACTGCTCCCCCTACCCTCACCTGCACCAGCTCAAAAAAAACTCAACAAAAAGGTGAATCTACAGAGGTTTTTCTTTTTCAATAGTGTATTTTTAGTTCTCTGGCTCCATTTTTTTCATTTGAAGGGCATGAATACATCAGAATTATATGAGGGGCATGTGTTGCCATATGCTCCAACAGACTCGTAACTGACTTTTGAGAGAATTCTTTGTCAGGATGAGATTTACTTGTCATGCTGTGTTCAGCATAGCTACCCCTGACACCTTTATCCTGGCTACACATTTCCCAACCGTCAGGCCAGGTGAGCCTTGCTCTCACATGACTATTTAATTCCTTGTTTCTAACAACACTATCACCTGAATAGTCTGTAGGTGGATACAGGTAGGGTGGAGTAGTTTTGAAGTGACTATATATAAGGAGTTGCTAGGGGAACCACAAGACCTTCAGGACCCAAGAAAAAGAAGAAAACATCTTGTGCTTGGTCCAGAGTGTACTTAGGCTGGATGGGTGGGTGGATGGATGGATGATGGTTGATGGACAGACACTGACGAGAGGATGGATAGGTGGGTGGATGGATGGAAGGATGATGGATGATGGGTGGATGGATACTGAGGAGAGGATGGATTGGTGGGTGGGTGGATAGTGGGTGGATGGACACTGAGGAGAGGATGGATTGGTGGATGGGTGGGTGGGTAGATGGATGAGATGGGAGTGGATGGATGTAGGTTAGATGGATGGTGCCCCCTCAAGACTAAGTGTCTCTAGCCTTGCCCAGCTGGCTGGATGCATGCATTCACCCCAAGGCTGGCAGAATAGAATGGGCCTCGTGGATGGGTGGGTGGGTGGGTGGATAGATGATGGTTGACAGGTGGATGGACACTGAGGAGAGGATGGATGGATGGATGGTGGGTGGATGGACACTGAGGAGAGGATGGATTGGTAGATGGGTGGGTGGGTGGATAGATGATGGTTGACAGGTGGATGAACACTGAGGAGAGGTTGGAGTGGTGGGTGGATGGATGGATGGATGATGGATGATGGGTGGATGGACACTGAGGAGAGGATGGATTGGTGGGTGAGTGGGTGGATAGATGGATGAGATGGGAGTGGATGGATGTAGGTTAGATGGATGGTGCCCCCTCAAGACTAAGTGTCTACAGAATAAAGAGACAAACAGCTTATCCTGGCACAGTGAGGACTTGACACCTAACACCTGTCCCTATTCCCACCTCATTTCCTGCCACTCATCTTCCAGACCACTGCCAACTATTCTGAACAACTCTCCGTTGGTAAATGCCTACTTTCTGCCTCCACACTTTGCACAAGATACTTCCTCCCTCTGGGATGCTGTCGTTAGCCTGGAGCACTCCACTCCTCCCTCAAGACCAGGCCAAATGTTACCTTCTCTTTGTTCCTCTCCCTGACTGTCCCCACTGGCTGTCAGGCCAAGTGAGCACCTGGTCGGAAGACTGCACACTGTTCTAGAGTTTCTCTGTCTCCCACTGGCTCCATCTCTGTAAAGTGGCAGGTTCAGAGGAGGCGCCCAATAAATATTTGTTGGATGAATGAGCAAGGTCTGTTATGAAAAGTCGCAGGCTACGTGAGGTGGGGATGCTGGTGGTTTCCTGGAGCCTTTCGCTGCCCAGTGGTGTCATCTATTAACAAATGATTCATGTTACCTGAAACCCAGGCAGTCTATGGACCCATTCTTTACCTAAAGCTAAAGGGTAAACCAGCCACATCATGAAAGGCTTCCTTCTAAACAGAGCTGTGACCCCCACGCCCAGCCAACAAAGAGCTTGTTTATAAACCACAGAGCCAAACTGTGTCAAAATACTTCCCAGAATAAGACGGATTAGGGCCCATGCTCCTTTCCATGGGGCCTGCCCGTGACAGGAGGCTTGTTTCCTTGCTGCTCTCAGGGGAATGTTAATTCTGAAGATTACATGCCAGATACCAACCCCCTCTGTACCGCATGCCAGCGCCGGGAAAAAACAAAAAGCAGCTGAAGGAACTGCACACAAGCTCTTGAAAAAGTCAGCAGGTCTCGGGGACCATGTCAAAGTCTAAGGCAGTGGTTGTTCAGGAAGAAATTGGGATGCAAACATGCTGTACACTAATTCGTGGAAAATAAATGTCCCAGCAATTGATTTTGCTGGGGCTTTTTGTTGTTGTTGTTGTGAGGGAGATTGGCCCTGGGCTAACATCTGTGCCCATCTTCCTCTACTTTACATGGGACGCCGCCACAGCATGGCTTGACAAGTGGTTCATCGGTGCGCGCCGGGATCCGAACCTGCGAACTCTGGGCCGGCGAAGCTGAGCGCGCGCACTTAACCACTGAGCCACTGGGCCCGCCCCATGATTGATTTTGACATAAACATGATCAAATTATGGAAGAAACGTGGAGAAATGAGAACAGTTATATGGCTAGTGGAAATACGGATTTTTTTCTCCTAAATTTTCTCTATATGATATTTGAACCATAAAGAGGGGAAATCAGAGGACACCTGACTATGCAGTGGGACAATGACACTCAGACTGGATGTCCTACTTCCCCCCTCAAAGCCCCTTCTGCTCCTCCCTGGTGCTTAGAGCATTGTGTCTCAAACTTTAGCCTACCTGAGGATCTTGATAAACCACAGACCACTGGACCTCACCCCGGAGGTTCTGATTCAGAGACCCGCAGGAGGGTAGGATTCTGCATTTCTAACAATTCCTAAGTGATGCCAATCGATGCTGCTGGTCCATGGACCACACTTCAGAGGAAGTGTCTGGGGTTTCCAGACAACCCTGGAACAACCACGCCGCAGGGCTCCTCGCCCGTGCGGGACACAGGGCGGGGCCCTTGCTTCGGGGATTGGGTTTGCTCCTCACGCGCTCTTGCAGCCCGTCCGGGCACCCCCGCTTAGAGACGGGGAACAGGTTCAGAGAGGAAAAGGCGCTTCTGGAGGAGCAGCTGGGGCTCAACCACTTGCATGTCCAAGCCAGGGTCTCTCCTCGGACCCTCCAGCGGCTGTTTTTAATCTGATAAAGGCAGGACAGGAGTGGCTGCCGCCGAGGCGCAGGCCTCTCCCAGGACCCCGTCGGAATTGCCATGGTCAGGGCGTTTCCTCACGCGGTGACCCTCACCCCGCTTCACCTCCACGCTGGAGGACTGTGACCGAGTGCGCTGGGTCAGCAATGTGGGAAGCCGTCTCGCTCTGGGCCAGCCTCCTCTCCACCCCGTCCCCTCCCCAGAATGTCTGGGGTCCTCCCTCCGCCAGGCGCACCCCATGCTCACCCTCTCAGGAAACCTCCTCCTCCCTAAATTAGAGGCGACCTCTTCCATGCTAACCTCAGGCTAAAGCCGTCCCTCCCCCGGCGCTGGACCGTGGGTCTGACGCGTCTCACCCCCGCCCCCGCAGTCGCGAGGAAAAGCACCCATCAGGGACGCACTGTCCACCGGCCCCGGTGGAGAAGCCTCACCCCGTCTGCACGTTAGAAGCCCCCGGGAACTCTGGAAAACACTGATGCCTGTGTCCCACCCCCAGAAACCCTGATTGCCTTGGTCTCAGGTGTGGCCTGAACAGTAGGCATGTTCAAGCTCCCCAGGGGATCCTACTGTGCCCCGGGGTTGAGAACCACCATCTTATGGTCCACAGGAAGGACCATATAAAATTAAGCAATAAAT